TGCCACCCTTTGGTTTACCCAAAAAACAAAAATAAGATAAAATAAAATTGAATTCCGCAAATTTGATCTGAAACTTACAGCCGTCGAATCTGAATGGTGCCGACTCATGGATACTGCCGAGAAACGCGGAGAAGAGTCCTAAATCTTATACTGAAGCATCAAGATCTGTCGGCTATATTGATTCGGATAATGAATCGCAAGGCTTTCCTTCTTTCATAATACCTTGCCTACAAGCAGAGTTTACCTATTAAAAAAAAAAAAAACACGAGCTCATAATTTTTGATACGTTTGCCCCACATGCCACTCGTCGTGTGCAATGGTGGCAGAGGTGTGTGTGTGTGTGTGTGTATGCATTGGGAGGGAGAGGCGGTGTGTGGCACGGTGTGTCTGGGGCATTTTGCATTTCCTGTTTGCCGCCAAATTAGTGGATATTTCGGTTGATGAATCTCATATTAATTTGCACAATTTGTCCCCCAAGACACATTTGTGAGGCTTGCCCGGAGGGGGTATACGGGGCAGGGTCCACAGACTGAGAGGCTCATTATTGGGAATGGGAATGGGAATGGCAGAGGTAGTAGTGTGGGATGAGGTTAATCTCTTGACCATTAAGGCGCCCACATGTTTCCCAGCCCTAGAAAGCAGATAAGGAAGGGGCTTGAAAGTTGGGAAAAGAAAGAGAAGAGATTGGAGAGAGAGAGAGAAAGAGGTCCCAGCATTTTAAAGAGGCCGCAGGTGACATGGAAATGGAAAAGCACCATACGACCCCCCACCCCACCCCACAAAAACAGAAATAGTATCTTAATGATGGAGGAGGGCGGAGACCAGGCCCCAAGAAGCTGACGAATGTTTATGATAAATGGATGGATAGGTGGAAAAACTGTACTTAAGAAATGTGGAATGTGGAATAGGAGGAGGAGGCGGAGGCGGAGTGGGAGGAGATCATTACGCAAAAAATGAAAAAGAAACGAAACGCAAACTGAAATTCCAAAATCCGTAAGAGAACACACAAAAAAGGACAGAAGACAGGACAGGGGGGACACAGAGATGGACAAAAAAAGAATTTCAAATTATGGCAAACGCATAAGAAAAATAAAAGCAACGAGAGGGAGCGATAGAGAGAGAGGGAGACAAACAAACAGACAGGCAGAACAAAGACGGACAGAAGAGACAGGGGAGACAGAGTCAGAAGAGCAGGCGATAACATGGACAAAATTTAATGCAATGAAAATCAAATAAATTGCAATGTAAAAAGGCAACAAAACCAAACAAAGACAATGACAAAGGCAAAGGCAAAGACAAAGAGACAGCGGATAGCAATCGCCAAACATGGTGGGCACCCTCCTCTCTCTCTCTCTCTCTCTCTGTCACTGTCTCTGTCTCACAAAGAATGTCAGGAAGCTTTAGCTACCCTGGAAACAAACGTGGTCCATGGCTTATAGGAACATCATCAACGAAGTGCAGATAAATGGCATCTTCATAGTAATACGATCGCATCTTTGACCCATATATCGGAGATGGGAACTACAACTGCAAAATCAAGTGGACACGAGTGCAGTAATGCTTTGGATTGCATCTGCAACAGGGTATCCGAAAGAACAAGTATTTGAAAAATTTATAAAAGGCATGCAAATGAAAGCCCATCGAAAATGGATAACGGCGGGGACAGAGCGGATAGTGGATAGTGGATAATGGATACTGGATACGACGGCAGTGCAGCAGAAATTGCCAAAGCAATGCAAGAGCAGAGCAGACACAGAGAGAGCGCCGTGAGATGAGAGAGCAAATTGAACGATATTCAAAACTGGACTCGGCTTCAAGCCGAGGAGGCCCACCTCCCACCTCCCCGCTTCACGCTCCCCGCATCCGTGAATCGGGGCGACGCATAAATTTTGGAGCATGCTGCTTCTCCGCCTTACCACCCTGTTCGCCTTTCGCCCCTCATTTATTTATTTCTTTGCTTTTGATATACGGTACGAGGCATCCCGTGGAGAGGACAAGAAGCGGAGTACATGTGGGACGTGGAGAGACATGTGACAGGACAAAGGAATGGATAAGGATTTTAATCTTGGCAACTGCAAAAGCTAGAGCCACGAAAATTATGGCGTAAAGAACATAAAGCTAATGGGAAATTATTCTATGCCCTCCCAGGTTTTCCAGCTAGTATAATGGGCCAGTTTCGTGGAGCTGTACGTATCTACTCAAATATCAGAAATCATCCACTTTAAATGAATATTACAGTCGGAAATTTTAATCTTGATTAAGCTCTCCATTTCTCCAGTTCACTCAGCAGACCGATGGGCGCTGCAGCAAGTTGCGTGTTCAATCAGAAAATAATAGAGATTCGACTATTATTATAGATCCTTCCCTGCTTAGTCTCAGTGGCAGTTCCTTTGCCTCTCAATGCGCGAATTCATTTTATACAATTCTCTGGAATTGCAATCGTAGCACATGGCAGGGTATCCCATGGTCGTTTCTCATGGGTAATTATTTTTGCCTTTTGCATTTGGTTCGAAATTCGAATTGCGCGTGGCTGCTGTCGATGTGGAGGCAGCAGCAACAGGCAGATGCAGATGCAGATGTGGCAGTGGCTCTGTGGCTTTCACCCGTGGAATGCGAGCAGCAGGAAAATTAGCTCAGATGTCGTTTGCTACAGGGCTGCTGATGCTGCTGTTGCTGCTGCTGCTAATAATAATACGAGTAACAGCATGAGCAGCAGCAGCAGCAGAAGAAGTTGCATGCCACAAGCATTAATTATGACAAAAGTAAAAGGCGGCATCGTCAGCATCAACACTTTGTACGTTGCACAGCTGTGAGAAAAGATGCGACTTGAGAATGAACGCCTCTCCCGGGCAACGGGTAGGCCCCCACACACCCCCACACCAACACTCACACCCACACACAAACGAGGGGCATACATATGTACACATATGTATGTGTGCGGCGGCTAGAAAAAGCTTTGCTGTCACTTTATGTTGCCACCGGGCGAGTGTGCCTGCCCCTGCCACTGCCAGTGCCACTGCTGTTGTTGCCCCTGCTGTTGCTATTTCTAATTTGCTGACCGACAAAACGGCGACACACAAAAAAAAAAGAAAAAGAAAACCCGCGTACGATTGCCGCGGCGTGAGTCATCCTCAAAAAGCGGATTTGGTCACCAACTGGCTGCCTGCCACAACGCCATATCCAAGATCGTACCGTACCTGATTTTGTGTGTGCAGCATGTGGCTTGATTAAGCAGCGGCTCAGCCATCAGCCATGCAGACATGCAGCCATTCAGCCAATTCAGCACCAAATACGATAAGCGAGCGGCAGTGCATATTCCGGGAATTGCATTTTATGCTGCCACAGCATTTGGAGCTCTGTTAGATCTTGGAGGGTTTCGATCACCCACGCTGCACTTCAACGCTAATTGCTGCGATGCAAGCTCAAAGATCTTTCTTGGAATTAGCTCCTAATATCTTCAGAACCCAAGAGGCTCCTATTCTTTTGCTGTTTGTCTCACAGCTCAAAGCAAGCTAGCTCGCTCTCTCCCAGTGTGGCTTAGCTTCGCTCTCTTCGGCTGGCACTCTCCCAACGAATGAAATATCTGTAGGTGTGTAATATTTGTTTTTTGGTAGATCCCCCCATCCCCCAAATTATCATTATGGCGCCTGTCACTGCCATAATATTCCCCAATATATCTCTAAAAATCATTCGACCTCCCTCTCTCATTTATTTCGTTTCGTTTTGCTTTGCTTTTCCGTTGTTTTTTGTTCTCGCTTTGGCTTTTGTGGGGCAAAATTGGAAAATATTTATGAAAAATGACAACTGACACTCACACAAGCACGCGGACACACGGATAGGATGGACTTTTCCTTGTATTTTGTGGATGGGGTGGCGCTCGTTTTATTTTTATTGTTTTTTTGGGGGCCCTGTTCGACTTGGCGACATTTCAAAAATTCTTGGAAAAATTATGACCCAACAACTGCAAGGCGTTTTCCGGGGCGTTTCTTGGCGGGAACGAGGTGTCTGTGTGTGGGTGGGATAAGTGGAAAAAGTGGGGAAAAGCCCAAAAGAAAATTAGAAGAACAATTAAAGAAGCAAATTTTGCAAATATAAAGAAGGCACAGGAACCCTTTCTTCAGCTTCGATATATTGTATTTCTTTTCCTCTCATCGCACATAAAATTCTCTATTGCTCTTTCTGTTTCTGTTCTATTGTTTCCTCTTTCCCTGTGTTTAATTCAATTATTATTTATATATTCTCCACATATTTATGGCATTATCTGTTATCGGTGGACGGGGGGGTATGTTCCGTTCCGGATCTGTTCCGTCTTAGTTTTTATGTCTTTTTAAATGGACAGCAAAACACTAAAGGGGAGTTCTCGGCCTTCAGATTTAGCCCCCAGTATTAACGTCGGTATTGAGGGGTATCCCTGGTAAGGAATTATGATTGATGCCACATAAATCCCATAATTCCCATAAAAGCTCTGCGGGCTTACATATGTCTCTAATAAGACATTTTTATGTTTTTTTATTTGAAAGCAATATAAAAAAATAATTGCTGGGCTGACAGCTAAGGAAATTGTATTGTAATCGTACGATTGGAGATCTTCTGCCACGTATTTTATTCCTGAATTTCTACGGCACTTTATCGACTGTTTAGTCACTAGCATAAGGATTAATATTATAGAGAATTTTTAAGTGTTTTCCGTGCTTGCCATTTGCCCGAAATAAAGTTCCGAAATACTCTTCCCCGAGTAACCCAACTCTTTGCTCTCTTCTCTGCCTCTCTCGTATCTCTCTGGCTCTTCTTTTTATTATATTTTGGCTTTTATTTTTAGCCCTCGATATTTATTTTGCGCCTGTCGTCTGGAGCTTTTTCTTATTTTTTTGTTTGGTGCCACTTTAGGCCTCAATTATTTTGAAATTCATTAAAAGTGTCATCTATTTTCAATATTTTTGGGGGCATGCCTCTTGATATTCGTTTCGATTTCTGAATATTTTATTTTCTTTTTCTTGCAGTGAAATGCACTTTTGAAGGGGCATCAAAAGACAGAGACAGATACCGCCCAAGAGAGAGAGAGAGCGAAAGGGTTAGTGTGAAAGAGTGAGAAGGAGAGTAGCAGCCGCAGCAGCAGCAGCAGCACACAAAAGGTAAGTAAACTGTTAATCTTTAATCCTGGTATCCAGAACCCCAGCGAGGCGCCCACGCAGCGGACGTCTGCTCCTCCTCCTTCTACTTCTCCTCCTTCCCCGAGAATAGCAGTGGGGGCGTGGGCGTGTGGGATCCATGGATCCCATCGCATGGTCTTGGAGTAGTTGGACTCTGAATTCCCGCACCCATAAACATAACCATAAGCCATCTACTACTCCGCACACACTCCGCCACACACTCCATACAAACAAATCGTTTTTTTTTTTGGGGCCCACGCACTCCACAGATCCGAGACGGCGACGACTCCTATACGATATCCATTCCATTGCATTCCCTTTTCCAGAACAGTACAGAACGAACCCCAAAACGGACACAAAACAGCAACAGGCAACAGAAAAAAGAAACAGGTGGGGCAGCATCATCTTCATGAGCATCGTGATCGTCATGATCAACGTTTCATTTTTCAGAGGAGTCTTCAGAGTCTCCAGAAAATCCTGTTGGCTCTCCGTGGAATGCAGATTTCGAACTCGTTTACATGCGAGTCGTTTCTTCTTCTACCTTCTGCCACCTCATCTCTCTGTGTGCCACATCGCCCTGGCGCCTCCTCCCTCCACCGCACACTATGGGGTGGACAAGGAGCAAGCGAGATGCGGACCTGCTTTTGGCCCCCTATGCCCTCCCTCCCTGGGCGAACCATCGCTATGTGGCAGTATCCTTCTGTGTTTCCGAATGGATTTCCGAGTGGTTACAGATGACTCCGAATGGTTCAAAATGCTTCCGAATGAAACTGTCCAAAGGCTTCAGGCTTTTTCCCGAATGATCTGCAAGTGATAAAGATTTTTTCCGAATGGCTTTCCAGGTGTAAAATATGTTTCGGAGTGGTTAGAGATGTTTCCGAATCGATTTTAAAGGTTGAGAAATCTATGTCCAAAGGTTAAATTTGTTTTTGGAGCATTCGGAATTTTAGGAGTAAAGCCCCAGAAAGGGGCCCTTAGTCAGGCGGCTGCTTGTTCCCTACCAACGCTCCTGCTTCCCTCTCTCTCTCTCTCTCTGTCTATTTCTGTGTTCTAGTGGTGTCTGTGTTGTGTGTGTGCATGTGTGTGTGTTCGAGTGCTTTGGCATCTTGTTTTGGACTCTGGTTCCGGTCGCGGGGCTCAAAGAAGATTTCAGCTGCTGCTTCTGATGCTGCGGCAAAACAGGTTTCATTCCCAAAGAATTTTCGCCATCTTTGTGTGTGTGTCCGTGTGTCCGGGTTTGTACAGTGAATACCCCCCTATGGTAAACCAAGAACAAAAGAGAAGAGCACAGCAGAAATCGTTTCCTATTGCAGCGCTCATTTCAATTTAATAATTTTTAATAATTTTATAATTAATATTAATATTTGTTGGTTTCTGCCATCACTTGAAAATTATGGATCCCTTTTCTTGCAAGCTGATTAGATTTCATGGCAATACGGTGCTTCGGTTCGTTTTAGTTATCTCTCACTGCTCCCCCCCACTCGATGCGCGAGAACGATGGGCAGATTGCGCCGGATGGGCGGTGGGTGGAGGGTGGAGGGGCTTTGTGTACCATAGTTCGTGATTTTTCTATTGCTCCTTTTCTGCCAGCAAACTGTTACTGCTGCCGCTGCTGCTGCTGAATCTTTAATGATCATAATAATGATGGAGTATGAGGTATAGGAATGGGTTAGAGTTTGGGTTAGGTTTGGGTTTGGGTTTGGGTTTGGGTTTGGGTTAGGGGTATATGGTTATGGGGGTATGGGTATGGGTATGATGATGATGATGATGAACCTTCTTTCTTTCTACTGTTTCTCAGGTTTTATTGAACTCTCTTCTGCTGTGCCTCTGTGTGTTCTCAGTTCGTTCTCTCTGGTTCTCGCGGTTCTTGGCTCTTGGCTCTTGGTTCTGGGTTCTGGGTTCTGTGTGTAAGTACAACTTGTAGCAGGTGTTACGTGTTTTACAAGCTGTTAACTGCCGCTGCTAATGGCCAAAAAGCAGTCGCCCAGTCGAAAGTGGAAGTAGAAATGCCTGAGAAAGATGAGAAAACAACAGAGAACACACACACACACATCCCAACTAAATGTGCCCAGAGAGAGATGGTAGATGGTCGATGGTAGATGGTCGATCGTGGATGGTGAATGGTGGGATATTCAACCAACCACCATCTGTAGGCGCTGTTGTTACGCCTCGCATTTATTTAATTAACTTCACAGAAAGAGCCTCCGCTGGCCGGCCGGTCCCTTCTTCATTCAAATTCAATTGTGGCGCCGCTACGCCTCCCATTTCAGTCGTCTTTCGGCTCCTCTAACTCTTTTTTTTTATTTTTATGCTAATTCCTGACAAACAACAACAAAACTAAGCGAATGAACAAACACACAGTGGGTTGGGCAGGGGAGGGGGAATGGAATGACGAACCACTCGCATAGTATAGTATTTGCCATTAAATTAATGTTTTCTGTTTTTGTTTTTTTTTGTTGTTTTTTGTTAGTTTGATTAATAACTCGATTTGGTCACACATTGTCGTATGTCTGAGCCATGCCATGAATGCTCCATGAATAACATGAATACGTCGCCAAATGAGTGAACAACAAAAAAACAAAAAGGGGAGTTAACAAATGCCTCTGTTTGTGTTTCAGTTTCTCCATGTTTTTTTTTTTTTTTGGTTAATCGAGTTAACTTTTGAAAGCAACAAACAAACAAACAACCAATTAATGTGCCGCTGCTGCTGCTGCTGCTGCTGCTGCTGCTGCTTCTGCTGCTGCTGCAGAGGCATGAGGCAGAGCCCCTCTCAATATCGTATTCCATATTTGGCCAAAACGGTGAATAAATGTTGCAACATCTGCTCGCTGCATGCTGCCATAGCACAGTGGCAAGAACGTTAACGGCATTGATTTTGCTTTTGGGCAGCATTTGAAGGTTTGCATTCAACGAGCAGATCCCCCGTCTAGAATATGTCCCAGAAAGTAGTCCCAAGACCTGCATTGCCTGCATTGTGATCGTTAATCGTTGGACAGATTTTCAGTGGCAAACACACAGTGGACACTTCTCTCTTCGCTCTCTCTCTCCCACTCTCCCATTACCATTCCCATTCTTTGTGGCGTGCCACATTCCACTGATTGTGCCACAACTGTTCGCTAACTGTTTGCTACCTTTTCTGCCTGACGTGACGTCATCTAAGTGCTGCCCCATTGTTGTTAGGCAAGGCAGCTCCTTGAATTCTGGCAGCGCCATTACCATTTCCGCATCCCCTGATCGATGCCCACATTACCGACCGAGGGGCGCTGCTGCATGACCCGCGATACCTGAAAACTTTGCTCAGACTTACATATCAGGCACTTCAGGGACTCGTTTGGGACTCGTAACCATCATCTATGATCCACTCATGAGCGTATATTCGAGGCATAGAAATCAAAGAATCAATCAGGGGCTACAGCAGCTGCGGTACGCCCCATATTCTTGTTGTTTTTCTTCGATGAAGGAGAGTACCTTTAGCCCCCTGCCCTGCTCCAGTGGGTTGCTGTTGCTGCCCCTCCAATGGTTTCTGCTGCTGCTGCTGTTGTTGGGCCCAGGAATGCGCATTAATTTTGCAACACACGCAACAGCAACAGCAACGGGGCAGGGCAACAACAAGAGCAACATGGCAGTGCATGGGGCAGAAACCTGCGTCAATTTCGCGCTTTACTTTTGTTGTCAGATGTTTTAAATCAGCGCGTCCCCGGTCCGTCCGTCCAGTATGTCTCTCGAGCGGGTTTTGCGCTCTGGGTCTGGTCTTGGGTCTGGGCAGTTCGGGCATAGGATCGATCGGTCTGGGGGTCTGGGCGCGCTGTGTAGGCAGTCCGGTTTGCTCCTTGCGTTAACAAGTGGAGCCCAGCCACAGCGACAGCAACAGCCCCAGCCACAACTGAGGCAACAACTGAGGCACCAACAAATGTCTGTGTTGTCTGTGGCAACATCGAACGCGGCGGCAGCTGCACGCGCCTCGCGGACCCCAATAATGACTATCAAATGGGAGCCGCGTTGCGCGATTTATGTGCGTCAAGAGGCTGTTGGAGGACTGGAGGACTGGGTCGAGCAGGCTGTCTCTCTGTCTGCCACAAGGTGGCAGTGGGCAGGGGGGGGGGCAGGGTGCATGGGGAGGGGCAGGAATGAAGAGGATACTCTCGTACCTAACGACTGGGGCGGCCGTTTTCTTGGAATTCCGCGCGCGCTTTTGTGTTGTGGCATCGTTTAAATTTCAAATCGAGACCCAAACTGTCGCTCGGCTCCAACTTGTTCTTGCAACCAGGAACCTGGAACCTGGAACCCTGAATGCACTCCTCCTGGCTCTGCTCTGCTCTGTGGAAGGGAGGGGCAGGACAGAGGCAGAGGCAGCAGCTCATAATAATGACACGCCATTAACAATCTGCTGGTGGGGACGACGACGCTGGTGGGGACGACGACGACGATGAGTCCTTGGCAGTCCAGTTTAAATGGCACATTGCTGGGGCAACCGACTGCTTCCGTTGCCACGCCCCACTGTCCAGTCACCAGTCACCGGCTGCTGCTGCTGCTTGGCTTGCGCTGCTGCTATTGCAGGTACAGTAGAGCCCAAGATATGCCATACTTCTCGGGGTTTTTCTTAGGGCTCTGGCACTGGCTCTGACTCTGACTATGGCATTCCACGCGTGTGTCAAATATTTGCAGAGCTGCGAGAGTCCGTAAGGGTAATGGAGTCATCCATCAGACATATGCACGGCGCACTGGGCACTGGGTACGGGTGCTTCTTGCCAAAGAGATCCCCTTTTATCCCAGAGAGGTTTATTCGATTTCCCAGTGGAAAATATATTTTTCGCTGATTCCCTGATTCCCCCCAACTGCTTCACAGAGTTTCCATCACAAATTACAGCGAATTACCCTCCAGACAATCGTTAGCTGCTAAGCTGCGCTTTAAGAGAGACAGAGCTTCACTGCTCGCTCCTAACATTCCATTGAGACCTTTTCCATTCATCTAATCGTTCGTTCCTTTGGTATCCTTGCAGAGTCGACGAACAACCGAACAACCAGCTGCAGGAAAGCAGAGCCATGGCTCGACTGCTGACCCTGAGCCTGAGCCTGTCCCTGACCCTCATCCTCAGCCTCAGCCTGGCTCTCAGCAGCAGCAGCAGCAGCAGCAGCAGCACCTCCTCCTCGGCACCCACAACGCTGGGCGTGTATATTGAACGGTCGCCCGAATCGGCTGTGGCGCCCAAGGGCGATGAGGTGGTGTTCGAGTGTGAGATGAACCTGAAGCCCGATCGGCTGGAGTGGCGCTTCCGGGAGAATAGCTCCGTGGCGTACCGCTATCTGCGGCCCAGCGGCGGCTACAATGTGACGAACAGCAACGAGGAGCGCACCTGGAAGCTGAGGATCTACGTGAGTCCCCAGACGGTGGGCGACTACCAGTGTGTGGCCTGGTACGGCCCAGGGGCGCTCGCCTCGACGCCCGCCCGGCTCACCCTCGTCTCCATTTCGATCGACAATCCCAATGGCTACAGTCGCCCGCATGCGGTACGCTGGAGCGTGGCGCCGCGCAACTGTGTCCTCATTCGATGTGGCACAGTGACCTCCAGCCCGCCGGCCATCTGGAGCTTCTACCGGAACGGGGAGAAGCTGCCGCAGACGGAGATGCTGATTTCGGGAGCGGGCGGGGCGCTGGTCCTCAGCTCCGTGGGTGCCAAGGATGCGGGTAACTACACGTGCGCGGCCACCAATGCCATCACTGGGGTGGAGGTGCGCCTGCCGCAGGTCATCGATCTGCGGGTGGACTACACAGACCGCACGCAGCCCTACTTCCTGCAGCAGCCGGCCAGCCAGCTGCAGGCGCGTCCCGGCGAGACCATCATCCTGGAGTGTCCCGGCGTCGGTTCTCCCCGGCCAGAGGCCGTCTGGAGCAGCCCCAATCTGCCCAGCATCAACCACAATCGCAGTCGAGTGCTCGCCTACGGTCTGCAGATCACCGACGTACGGCCGGAGGACCAGGGCTCCTATGTGTGCCGCCTGGACAACGGCATAGCGCCCGTCCGCGTGCACATGATCAAGCTGCAGGTGCTGGAGCGTCCCAGCATACTGCGCGGCCCGGCAGCCACGCTCACCAACGAAGGCAAATCGCTGACCCTTGAGTGCTCGGCCACAGGCAATCCCCAGCCGGAGATCTACTGGCTGCTCAACGGCGAGGATGCGAGCAGCGACAACGAGACGCTGGCCGAGAACCGCAGCCTGCTCATAAGTCACGTGCAGAAGCGGCACGCCGGGGTGGTGCAGTGCTTTGCCAGGAACACCCTGGGAGAGGTAAGCACAGAGAAGTCGCACTCCTCCACCCCTGCTCTAATCCACACGCTCCACTCTGTCCACAGATCAGCGAAGGAAATATGCTGCGTGTGAATCCCTTGCAGATCAGCGGCGAGGATTACCAGACATTGGGCAATGTGCCGATGCGTTCGGCGCACGATTCGGCCAGTGGCGGATCCTCATCGGGTTCGGGCTCCGGCTCTGGCTCCTCCTCGTCTTCTGGTGGCGGATCCCGCAACAAGGGCAAGCGGAAGTACAACCGTTTGGGTGAGTCAATGATTGATTGATTGATTGATTGAATCTCTCACTCTCTCTCGAGAGAGAGTGTGTGTTCGATTTAATTCTGTTTTTTGCATCGTGGATGGCAAATGGCCACGCCCATTCTGTATTTTTCATGTGTGCGATAGATCATTGCGCTGTACATTCAAGTGATGGCTGCTTAATCGATAATTATCGATAGTTGGCTGGCCAGGCGATCGATTGTTGCTGGCCAGCCCCCACCCCAATTTCCCCTTGGTTGTTTTTCCTTAGCTGCTAGCGGGACATTTAGACGAACAAATAGTGAAACTTACAGACTAGAAACCCCCGATAAAACGATCCATGTACTCCTCATCGTACTCCTCCTCATCGTCTTCGGTCTCCTGCTCCTGCTCCTGCGGGTACTGGTACTGGTACTCCTCCTCCCCATCCTGCTGCTGCTGCTCATCCTCCTCCAGTTGCTCGTGCTCTTCGTCTGCTGCCGCTGCAGCAGTGGCACCCTCCAGAAGATCATCTCATGAGCTGCTGGTCTTGCGCAGCTGCTCCTCCTCCTTCTGCAGTATGCGGATCTTCATCTTGAGCTCCTCGACGCGCAGCCTGTGCACCTCCCGCATATACTTGAGCTCATCCTGGGCCTTGTTCAGCTCGATCCGCTTCTTTTCGGTGGTCAACTGCTGTTCCTTGCACCGCAGCTCTGCCTCCCGCACCTTAAAGTAGTTCATCCGCTCCTCGTAGCCATCTCCAGCCGCCGATCCACTAGCCCCGACACCGCAACTCGACCCATTGCGGCCGGGACTGCCCGAATTGGGTATCGTGGCCGTTGCCACGGGCACCGCCGTGGCCGCCGTCACCGTGGGCATGGCGCTGAATGTGAAGGTGGGCGTACCGCCAGTCAGCTGCATCTTCACAGCCGCCTGCTGCTGCTGCTGTTGCTGCTGTTGTTGCGCCTGTTGTTGCTGCTGCTGCTGAACGACAACGGCCGCCGCCTGCTGCTGCTGCTGGTGATGCACTGCAACCGCCAGATGCTGCTGCTGGGCCGCCGCCATCTGTTGGGCCTGTGCCAACTGCTGGGCCTGCGCCTGTGCCTGGGCCTGCGCCTGGGCCTGTGCTTGGGCCTGTTGCTGCTGCTGGGCCTGGTACTGGGCGAGAGTGATCTGCTGGGGCTTGATCTCGCTGATGATCTGCTGGTTGTAGCCCCCAGCGGTGATGGTGGCCATGGTATGCTGTTGCGCCTGCGTGGGTATCGTATGGATCTGTGTGGCTGCAAACGGCAAGGAGAGGGGAATATCTATAGTATCGATAGGGAGCATAATGGTGGGCAGCCTGTCCTACCTGTCGCTTCCGAGGGATGCTTGATCTGCAGTATGATCTCCTCGCGCGGTCGCGCCGTCTTAAAGTGCAGCAAATCGTTGAGGGTGAGCTTCTCCGCACTGATCTGATCCACATTGATCTGGTGGGTGTTGAGCATATTGGCATTGGCAGCAGCCACAGCCGCCGCTGCGGCACTCTGCATCTTTTGCATCTCGACGGCTGCCGTCTGTTGCTGTTGCTGTTGCTGCTGTGCCTGGGCTTGGGCCTGGGCCTCGGCCTCAGCCTGCGCGTGTGCTTGCTGCTGCTGCTGCTGCACCTCTATGGGGTCCTCCTCGATGTCATCGCTGACATCGTTGGCATCCATCTCGATCTCATCGAACGTGTCGCCCTGGGCATTGGGCTCCGATTCATCGGGGCTGATGGCGAAATCGGGTTCCACCTTGACCGCAACGGTGCGCTGCTGTTTGGCCCGGCCAACGCCACCGCCACCAGCACCACCGGCGCCACCGCTATAAGCGGAGGTGTTCTCGCGATACGGATACTGTTTGCGGAGCCTAGAAGAGACAGAGACAGAGAGAGATAGCGGGGGACTCGTTAGATGTGCCAGCCATAAAGAAGGTTTTACAAGGGTGCACCCACCTCGAGTTTAGCCAGAATTTCTGGATCTGCTTGATGTTGCGCATGGCACTGACATGCGGATGAGAATTGAAGTCGCGCACGATCTTGTCCCAGGTCTCGCGGACGGAGTACTTGTTGCGTTGCTTCTTCCTGTGCTTAATGTCGATGACATCCTCGTGGAGGTGGAAGAGCGTGTATAGGACCTCCTTCTCCTCGGGTGTGAAGCGCGGCGTGAGGGGCAGATGTGTTTTATTCGAGCCACCGTTACCACCCGATGCAGTGGTGCTGCCATTGCCGCCATTGTCACCGCCAGAGCTGCCGCCGCCGTTCGCTGAACCCCCACCCCCACCTGCGGCACCATCCACCGCCGCAGACATTTCTACTTCTACTTCTTCTTCCCGCCGTTTGTTTTGAGTGGGTTAGCGATTCAGACTCCGACTCGGACTCGGATTCCGAGTTCGACTCTTGCACGAAAATCAATTGCACTCGTTTTCCTTATACACACGAAAAATGCTCACACGCACACACACACAGGTGGCAGCGTCTGTGTGGGTGCTGAGTGTCTATTTGTGAGTCGTTTTTTTCACGTCTCTCGTCCGCCTTTGCACTGTTTCTCTGTTGCTATTGCACTTAATATATTTACACTTGTACGTACTCAGTACGCTAATTAGCTAAAAAAAAAAAACACATTACACATTGAGGCGGCGCGCATCGCTTTTATTTATGGCAGATAATTTTCTCCCCTGAATTTGAGCGCAATTGTTGTCGAACGCAGTGTGACCGCGGATTGATCGATAAAATATACCCCAGCCTGAACCTTAAAAATATACCAAAATATACCTTCCCAGTTTTAAAATATACCGATGAAAATCATATTACTCAATTTTGATATTCGATTTAATATTACAAGCTATTTAGAACTCAGCAGCACTGAACTTATAGTTTTCTCCGATTGATGAATTGATTAACTACAATCTAGTTTATTTTGGGGACTCCTTTTATTGGAATGTATATAAAACAAGGTTTAAACAAAGAAAGCACAAAGAATTGCCCCTGTTTTTACATTACTCATTTTTGAGTTACAAGTATGAGCTCTCGGTATCCAACTGTCGAGCAGATGGGCGCAAAAAGTGTGACCGTTTTTAAGAGTGTTTCTAAAGTGTTTCTGCGATTTGAAACTAAAATTAAAGTTAATAAATATGAATGTCCATTGCAGACATGGTGCCTCCGTCACGACCCAATGTGACCCGTTTGGCCGACGATGCCGTCATGCTGCGCTGGACCGTGCCGCGCAACGACGGCCTCGCCATCAACTTCTTCAAGGTGCAGTATCGCATGTTCGGCGACAGCTTCCGCAAAATTCCCCGCGAGAGCTGGCAGACCACCAACGAGAACATACCTTACGGCTACTGGAAGCCAATGCGCGGACGCGACCGCCATGACCGCGAACGAGAACGGGAGAGGGACCAACAGCAGCATGAAGCGACCGTCGGACCCAAGAACTTCACATCGTCGGTGACGGGACTGCGACCGGATCGGTATTACCGCTTCCGTATTGTTGCCGTTTACTCGAACAACGACAACAAGGAGGGCAACACCTCGCTCAAGTTCTTCCTGGAACGAGGCGTGGCCAAATCGAATCTGCCGGTGCCCGATCTGCGCGACGTGGAGCCTACTCCGAGTCTGCCGTCCTGCTGCACTGGACCCTGGCCGCTGCAACTGCCATTGCCCCTGCAACAGCAACAGCCCCTGGCTCCTCATCCGACAGCAGCATCGATGGTTACTATGCCTACTACAGGCCCACTGACTCGGCGGGCGAGTACCTCAAGGCGACTGTAGATGGCGGCCATACGCGCCGCTTCAAGATCGACATGCTCCGACCGGGCACCGCCTACGAGTTCAAGCTGCAGACATTCAATGCCCACTCAGCCTCCGAGTTCAGTGCCATTCGTCAGGCACGGACCAAGAGTGAGTATTTCCTCGCGCGACTCCCTTGTTTGGGACAGTCCTTTTGATTATCTCCTCTCTTGCAGAGCTAAATGAGCCAACAGCCTCGCCCACAACGCCCCTGATGGTGCCCGCCAACCAGGGTAAGCCGTCGCAGAGCTCCATTTACCCGGTGATTGCCGGTGCCGCCGGCGGGGGGCTGCTGCTGCTGATTGCGACTGTGGTGGCATGTCTATGCCTGCGTCGTCGCAAGAGTTCCCAGCCAGAGGGTGAGTTCTGCCGCTTAACCCTTAAGTCCTTAATCTTAATCTGTCTTTGCTGTTCCCCCGCAGATGAGAACAAACCACAATTGGATCATATACAAGCGGACTTTGTTACCTCCGCCGTGCTGGGTGTGCCCGGGCATCACAAGAGTGGCGGCGGCGTCAGTGGCGGCGATGTGCGACGCCTCAATGGCGTAATACCGCGCATGAATATCACACCAAATCCGCTGGCCCAGGACGCTGCCTCCGATAAGGTGAGTATCTCCCCCTCCAAGGGAGAATCTTCAGTCTACCCTTTCATTTGGCTTCACATCCTCTGTTCGAACAAAATACACGCAAAACTTTTCGCTGGTTGGTTGGTCAAAATTACAAAAAACAAAACAACAAAAAAACAAATGCAAGAAACCAAATTTTGGATTTGGAAGGGGGCCTATCCCTGTCTGTCTCGCTTGTGCCACTGTGCGCTCTGTCTGCTGTCTCTGTCTATTTCCTGCATTCTCTCTATCTCTCCTTTGGCTGCTTCTGGGCTGTGTCTGTCTTCTGTCTGTCATCATCTGTGTTCTGTGTGTTCCCCCATCGCCAAACTCTGCGTCCAATGTTTTAGAACCGCAACGTCATGGAGCTGCGCTTCATGCCGCCTTTGGCCAATGGCCATGGCAATGGCAATGGCAATGGGATCCACTGCATCACGGCAGGTGCGGGCCCTGAGGAGGCGGGCGAAGATGAGGATGCCCTCCAAGCAGTGGCCTCATCCTCCTGCGAGACATTGGAGGCCTGCGATGGCATCAGCCAGCAGCAGCAGCAGCAGTTGCCGCAGCAAGAACCATCGATGGACGCTCCCAGCAAGCCACTGCCGCCGCTGCCCAAGAAATCCGCATCCATCGGCAACGCCACTACAGCTGCAAGTGCAGCTGCAGTTGCAGGTGTCGCTGGTGCAGGTTTAAGCTCTGGCAAGCCAGTAAACGTAAATACCAACCCAACCATGTTGAGATTGTTTTTTATTTTTTGTCCATGATGTCATCCATTCGCCCAGCATTCGCTCAGCAAAGCAGCACCCGGATTACCCCAGCCGAACCCTTACTAATCCACTGTTTCTCTCTTTTGTTACCCCATTTAGAGCAACGCTGGCGTTGTGGCAGCCATGCACCAGAGCGGGCTGCATCATGCCCAGCCGTACCATCCGCCGGGCACGCCCACTATGCTGCACAAGCGCCTCGACTACCATCAGCAGCAGCAGCAGCAACAGCCGCCGCCAGTGCCGCCACACGCTTCCTACTACCAACAGCAACAGCAGGCGCCTATTCATCATCCTGGAGTCTGCGGCCCCTCGCCCATGCTGGAGCGCAGTATGCGGGGACTAGCAGCAGCAGCAGCACCAGCAGCCATCGTATGGCGGCGGCTGCCCGGAGGATGGAACGCCCACACCCTCGCGGATACCTTCGCTGCGGCGACAGAGACGCGCCTCGGGCAGCCAGCACAACAGCCACAGCAATCTCAATCTGAATCACCATCAGCATCATAATAACATCAACAATAACAACAACAACCTGCCACCACACCACCACCACCAGCACCTGCACCATCATCAGGGTCTGGTCGGCATACCGATTGTGCCTGGCAGTCCGCGGGTCCAGCGCTCGCCGATGCCCAGCCGTGCGATGATCAAGCGCACGCGACTCGGCAGCCACACGGACAACATCTCGTCGGGCAGTCTCAACAGTATTGAGGTATAGGCCGCAGGAGTAGCAGCCAGGAGGCAGCCAAGAGGCAGCCAGGAACAGAACTAAGGCAGAAGCCTAAGGGCACAAGACACGAGTTAGCATTAGCGACATTTAAATAACATATATAATGTGTATTATTACGATTTAATACTACGATACCCAGGCCAGCTAATTCTTCTATTTTTTTTTCTTGTTAATCCCCTGGCCCCTGATAGTCAGTAGAAATATTATATTTAGTTTTAATTGTATTTTAAGCATGTAATCCTTTTTTTTGACGGACTCTTTGATGTTTCAGCCCCATGGGGGCTTTTAAAGCATCTCCCTCGCTCGCGCGCGTCCCAGCCCTGTAGGTTAGTGTTATTTATTTATTGCATTGTAAGTGTAAAACGACTCGAATTAGTTAACTAAGGCAAGCGACTATCCTAACGCTGACTCGCAGTAGTCGCGCACACGTTGTAACAATTGTAACTAAATTTATCCACTGCATCATAGCATCATCATTCATCCATCCACAGACATGCCACATCCATCCACCAGCACGCATCCTATTCTAGCTATAAGATCATCCAATAAACGATGGACAGACCAGACAGTTTGTTTGTAAGAGCATCAACAAAATAACAATATTCGATTTTTGGTTTTTAATATTAAGTGAACGTTTCATTCGAAGGCAATGGTGATGAGCGCCAGCATCGGTTACATTTATGTATGTGTGTGTATGGGCGTGTTTAAGGAGAGAGAGAGTGAGTCTGGAGCTGATCAGAGTAACAAGAACAGAAGAACACAAAACAAATTATGCACGGGGAATTTCGATAGTGTGTGTGTGTGTGTGTGTGCTTGTGTGTGTGGGGGGGAGTGCTGCATGCCTTCTAGGTATCAGCTTCTTCCTGCGAGTCCCTATGTGTCTCAGAGCGATAGGCAAGGGGATGGATCTTGAAGCCATACAGTCTGCGAGCGGAGTCGAGTAGGGTATATGAATAAAGAATGGATTAACAGATAATTGTGGGACCCACCTGGGCACAAACTTAACCTTGGAGCGCTTGGGACGCGTCTCTGGCTTGACCATGAAGAGCATGTGAGGAAAGTTAGAGCCAAAGAAGGCGCCGTCCAGGTTGGCGTGGCGAGCGGACCTGGGGATGTACACCTCGTTGCACTTGGGGCAGTAGAGACGCACCATTTCGCTGCCAATGGTGTCGCTCATGCCGATGGGCAGCACATGCTGGCGCTGGCAGAAGACGCGTGGACATGTCCCAAAGACGCCCTTCACGTACTTCTTGTACATCAGCTCGATGCCGCGATCGGTGACGATGAAACGGGCGTGAATCAGCCCGTAGAGCTTCTCGGCGGAAGCCTCCACTTCGGAATCGGGTACACCATCGGAGGCGGACCCGGTGTTCAGGTCGAGAATCACCTGGAGTGCGCTGCGATAGTTCTTCTCCTCCATGTCCAGGAAGAGCAGGTTGAACTTGTCGTGGATGTAGTCCTCGTCCACCATCACAAAGAACTCATTTCCGCGCTGCTTGCAGAACCAATTAATCCAACTGGTCTCATCCGAGTCAGTCATTGTTGGACGAATATTTTAAAATTGGGAAAAAAAAATCCTCAAAACTGTAACTTGCTTTTTGTTAAGTAAATTTTTCGAGTTTCGAGTTTTCAGCAGGGCTACTTGATTACTTGTGATTAGTTTTGTTTTGTTTTCGTTTCGTTTTTTTTGATATAGCCATGTCCGTCGGTACATCCGTTTTGATGAGTGCCTAAATCTCAGGGACTGTAAGAGCTAGAGCAACCAAATTTTGTATCCAGCCTTTTGTGATGTGACGCTATTACAAGTTTATTTTAAAACTTCGCTCAGCCCCACAAACAGGGACGAAAATCTGCAGTTTCCACAATTTTAAAGATACGAGAAACCCCAAAACGCAGAATCATAGAGAATGTTCATGTCTACAAGATTGCCCAATCTGGATCAGAGTGACACGTGCCGACGGACAGCAAGCATGCTGTGTAACACTCCAAAATATATGATTGTATGCTTAGAATAATTCAGGAAAAATTTTAAAATTTCGGAAAAATGTAAAATAATGTAAATTGGTAATAAAAATTAAAAAAAAAAAAACAAAAAAATGTTTTTTTTAATCATTACAAAAGCTGACTGATATGAAACGATATAATTCTAAGTGCTCGCTGACAAAAGCTGACTGATATGAGAGGATAAACTGTATTTGCTCGCTGACAAAAGCTGACTGATATGAAAGGAACAAATTCTAATTGCTCACTGACACAAGCTGACTGATATGAAACGAAATACTATAAATGCTCGCTGACAAGAGCTGACTGATATGAAACGATAAAAGTGTAAATGCTCTCTGACAATAGCTGACTGATATGGAACAAAAAAATTATATTTGCTCGCTGACAAAAGCTGACTGATATGAAACGAAAAAAATTCTAATTGCTCACTGACAAAAGCTGACTGATATGAAACGAAATACTATAATTGCTCGCTGACAAAAGCTGACTGATATGAAAGGAAAAACTCTAATTGCGCGCTGACAAATGCTGACTGATATGAAACGAATAATTATATTTGCTTGCTGACAAAAGCTGACTGATATGAAACGACAAATTCGAATTTGCTCGCTGACAAAAGCTGACTGATATGAAACGAAAAATTATAATTGCTCGCTGACAAAAGGTGACTGATATGAAACGATAAAATTGTAAATGCTCTCTGACAATAGCTGACTGATATGGAACAAAAAAATTATATTTGTTCGCTGATAAAAGCTGACTGATATGAAAGGAAAAAATTCTAATTGCTCACTGACAAAAGCTGACTGATATGAAACGAGAATACTATAATTGCTCGCTGACAAAAGCTGACTGATATGAAAAATAAAATTGTAAATGCTCTCTACAATAGCTAAAAGGGAACACACTGTAACACTTTGTTGCAGTGTTTATGCAATAAACATTCCCAGGCATATTCAGTGCGACGAAATACGATCACACATATATGCCTGGTACTACATTAGTGCAGCGTCGGCATGTATAGCATAGCCGACGGCACTTGAATATGATCCACACAAGCATGTGGATCTTCCCCTCGCGCCCCCCGCTATCAACAGCGCTGGGCATATATAACAAACATATAAATGCGGCCGCTCCGCTGCCGGCGTTGCTGGCGGCGCAGCTACGCTGGCCCTCAGCCAAGTAGAATTTAAGAAACATACAAAAGATCATTCAATAAAATTATATCAGAAATGACGGATGTCTTTTCTTTAAAATCCCTATCTCTGGAGTTTATATTTACATGGCGACCGTGACAGGTAAAATACACTTCCAAATGACCGTGAACAAGTATGAAATGTGAAACAAACGGAGACAGCAGACAACAAACAACAAAAATTAAAAGAAAAACGCAAGTGCAAGTGTAAAATGGGCTGTCTAAGTCGGAATAAAATATAACATTTGAAAAAAAAAATACTTTGAAAATAAACATTGAACGTGTCTCTGGAGCAACGGCCCTCCGAGAAAATGCAGAAGTGGATTCTTCAGTGCTGATCGTTTTCTAGCAGACAGAAAATCGGTGAATATGGGAAAATCATATTGGGATGGCCCCCCTCTAGCAGACAGAAAATCGGTGCAAAATGAAAAAAAAAAAACAAAAATACATTTAAATGCATGTTAATACAACGACAAAACCTGTCCCTTAAAATTACATAACAAGAAAAATAAAAGAAGAAAAAGACCTGAAAAGGCACCGACAACGCTACATAGAGCGTATATCAATGACCTGTGCGATGACCGGCACCGGCATCGCCTGAGCCCATAGGCCCCGGACAACTGCAGCGGCGAAAATTACGCGTGAGAGGCCTGTCGCCACTTACGCCACCGTTGGAAACAAACTGGAGACAGATCGTCTTCAACACATAGATGAGCAGCTTCGCCCTGGTGCGAAACAACGCAAACGGGCTGCATAATTGCGAATGCCCCAATTTGCCTTACCATTACCTTTAATTAAAACCACTCAAGCTGCTGCGTGAAAACGCTGCTTGAAAAAAAAAACCTAACCAATTTTTTTATCGAAAGGCTTTAACTAACAACATATGGCTGATATTGAAATTATATCGAGCAACCAAATGTAAATCAGCCATATGACCTAAAATTCTCTATCTTCACATTTTCAAAAAGAAAAATTAAAAAAAAAAAAAGTCGAATACATATATACCCTAATTTTTCAATTTTTTTTTGCATTTCCAAAAATAAAATTTTCAATTTTCATTTCAATTTCAAATTAAATTTTCAAAACCGACTAGCGAAAAAAAAAAACCATGGGTTGGTTCGGGTCTGACGATAGTCAGACCAAAGACAATACGGCCAACGTGGTCAATAATGTCAAAATTATTGATCACACAGATGGTATTCAAGCTTTATGGCTTTTGTTGCTGATCTTAACGATCGTAAACGTTCTGCAGTTTCTCTTAACATTGTATGTTAAGCATAACAAGATTATCAAAAAAAGATATATGAGTAGGGCAAACGATTTAGACAGGGTTTGAAATCAAAGAAAAATTTGATAGTTAAATAAAAACTTTTAAATTAAAACAGAAAACAAACAAAATAATGCCAACATTAGAGGCCATTAGAAAAGTCCACATTAGGGACCCCCATTTTTCGGCTAGAATCCAACAATTGGTCTCAACGACCCCTAAGAGCATATTAGAGCTCGAATATATGTACATGAGTACATTTCATTTAGAATTTTCGCCCTTAATAGACTGTTCAAAAACACAAAAAGCAATTGTGTTAACTACCATTCCAGGTATTGTAGTAAAATCAGTAATAAATGAACATTCGATACTGGGCAGAGTAATTGACTTTGCAATATTTAAAACTTAAAACCAAGAATGGAATGGCAGGAAATTTACAAATCATTAGAAGAAAATAAAAGTAGATTTGACAAATCATACAAATCACTTACACAAAATAGGACAATACAAAGAGCTACAGTGAATAGGCATGCGACCATATTAGTTGAGTGTTTCAACGAGGCACGTACACTAATACATGAAAATAGAGAACGCATAAAAGAACAAAATTGGTCGCAGGTATCAAAATTTTTGATCAGACTTCGATCAAATTTGATATCGATTCAAAGGAAATTCAATTTGGATATTTCAATTCCAACAGTTTTGAATACTCCATTGACAATAGACATAGAACAACCCGGAACAAGTCAAACTCAAGAACTTGACCGAGAAGTTGAATCAATTGATCAAGAAACAGAAGTGGAAGAAAAAGATCTACACGATCTAACGATCCAAGCTGTATTAACAGTACCACAATATCAAGATCAAGAATTGTCTGATTCCGATTCACTGAATAGTGTGATAGAACAAAAACACATCAGAATGGCAGACGACACAATTGCCCAACGGGCATATATCAAAGATATTTCGCACGCCATACCTGAATTTAACGGACAAAAACTTCATTTGCAGCGATTCATAACAGCGATTAAATTAGTTAACCTAACAAAAGGCCCTTATGAATCTTTAGCAATCGAAGTAATAAAATCAAAGATTATAGGATCAACACTGTACAAAGTTCAAGAACTTACAACAATAAATGAAATTATAAAGAAATTACAAGACACTATAGTCGGTGAAACGTCTGACGTAGTCAAAGCAAAATTGGCAAAAGTATGCCAAAAAGGAAATACTGCAACCCAATTTACCACAGAAATCGATAATTTGCGAAAGCTACTTGAAGCTTCGTACATCGATGAAGGACTACCAGCCGAACATGCCGATAAATTCAGTACAAAAGAAGCCATTAGCACAATGGTTAAAAATTGTGAGCATGGTAAACTAAAAACCATTTTAGAAGCAGGTAACTTTACGACCATGAACGACGCCGTCGCAAAGTATATACAATGTAGTACTGAGATGACTGGCAATGCTAATTCAATATTGTACACGCGTAGAGGACAAGCTTATCGCGGTAGTAACTACCGAAGTAACTATCGAGGTAGAGAAAATGGTCGTGGTTACTACAATAACAGCAATTCAAACAGGAACTTCAATTACAATAACAATTATCAGCCAAATAATTATAGAGGTCGTGGTAATTATAGAGGAAATAACCGTGGTAACGGCACATCCCATAACAACCAAAACTACGTCAGAAATGGGAACAGAGGACACAACAATAATGTCCGTGTTACCCAGACGGCTTCGGGAAACTCCCAAACTCCTTTAGATACTCCAAACTATTAAAAGCAAAGGTTCAAACCATCAATCTCAATCTTAACATTTTCGTGTCATTTAACAATGCCAATACAGGAAAACATCTAACATTCCTAGTAGATACAGGAGCGAACATATCGCTAATAAAAGAAACTTCAGATGTCTTCAACGACATACAAATAAATAGTAAAATAGATATTCAAGGCATAGGTGAAGGTATTATAAAATCCCTAGGCCTTGCACCAATAGAGCTACAGACAGATAAATACATAATTCCTCACAATTTCCATTTAGTAAACAAAAATTTCGCAATCCCATGTGATGGAATAATAGGGATTGATTTTATAAAAGCATTAAATTGTCAAATTGATCTAAAACCTTCAGAAGACTGGTTTATAATACGACCAAACAATATAAACATTCACATTTATGTTCCAATAACATACAGTTCTGGTAACAATACAATACTTCTACCAGCAAGATCACAAGTTATTCGAAAAATAGAACTAACTTCAAGTGAAGATAATGTTCTAATTCCAAACCAGGAAATCCAAACTGGTATTTTTGTTGCAAACACAGTTGCAACCACGCAAAATGCGTTTGTCCGATTACTGAATACGACCAGTACCGACCAATTAATTAATATAAATAATTTAAAATATGAACCACTTTCGAATTACAATGTAGTTCAAACAACTTCTAAAATCAGGGAACAAACTGTCCTAGCTCAGCTCAAAAAGAATTTTCCAGCTCCATTCAAACAACCATTAACGGAATTATGTTCCAAATATAGTGACATATTCGGGCTTGACACCGAATCAATAACAACAAATAATTTTTATAAACAAAAATTGAGATTGAAGGATGACGAACCAGTATACATCAAAAACTATCGAAGCCCGCATAGCCAAGTTACAGAGATCCAGAAGCAAGTAGGAAAATTAATAGACGACAAAATAGTCGAACCGTCCGTATCAGAATATAACAGCCCACTATTACTTGTACCAAAGAAAGCCCTTCCGGGCACTGAACAAAAGAAATGGCGATTAGTAGTTGACTATCGTCAAATAAATAAGAAGCTCTTGTCAGATAAATTCCCACTACCTAGAATTGATGACATTTTGGATCAACTAGGTAGAGCAAAATATTTCTCATGCCTTGACTTAATGTCAGGTTTTCATCAAATTGAACTAGAAGAAAGTTCACGTAATATAACGTCTTTTTCAACGAGCAATGGCTCATATCGCTTCACGCGATTACCATTTGGTTTAAAAATAGCGCCAAATTCATTTCAGAGAATGATGACTATTGCATTCTCTGGACTTGAAGCTTCGCAAGCATTCCTATATATGGACGATCTTATAGTCATTGGTTGTTCCGAAAAACATATGCTCAAAAACTTACAAGATATTTTTGAGGTATGTAGGAAACACAACCTAAAATTACATCCACAAAAATGTTCATTTTTCATGCATGAAGTGACCTTTCTCGGCCATAAATGCACTGATAAAGGAATCTTGCCAGATGACAAGAAATATGACGTCATCAAAAATTATCCAGTCCCGCACGACGCGGACAGCGCTAGAAGATTCGTTGCATTCTGCAATTATTACAGACGTTTTATTAGAAACTTCGCCGACTATTCCCGGCACATAACCAGATTATGTAAAAAGAATGTTCCATTTGAGTGGTCAGATGAATGCCAAAATGCATTTTTACACTTAAAAGATCAACTCATCAAACCAACTTTGTTACAATACCCAGACTTCACAAAAGAATTTTGTATAATAACGGATGCAAGTAAGCAAGCGTGTGGAGCGGTTTTAACTCAAAACCATAAAGATCTCCAACTTCCAATTGCATACGCGTCCAGATCATTCACCAAGGGCGAAAGTAACAAAAGTACAACAGAACAAGAATTAGCAGCAATTCATTGGGCAATTACTCATTTTCGACCATATATTTATGGAAAACACTTTACAGTGAAAACGGACCACAGACCACTAACATACTTATTTTCAATGGTCAATCCTAGCTCAAAACTTACACGCATGCGGCTCGAATTAGAGGAATATGACTTCACAGTCGAGTATCTAAAGGGAAAAGATAATTATGTAGCAGATGCGTTATCAAGAATAACCATCAAAGATTTACAAGAAATACACAAAACAGGAACAATACTAAAAGTCACTACCAGAAACCAAAGTAAACAGAAAAATTCCTGCGCAGGAACAGAAAAATTAGATTTGCCTAGGCAAACTCTAAATAAAGCTTCTCAGCCCAACGTATATGAAGTCATTGTAAATGACGAAGTACGAAAGGTAGTGACCTTGCGAATAACAGATTCAAAATGTTTGCTAAAACATGGAAAAAAAGTTATAGCAAGAATTGATGTTGGCAATATGTACACCAATGGAATTCTCGATTTAGGTCAGTTCTTCCAAAGGCTTGAATTACAAGCCGGTATACTAAAAATTAGCCAACTCAAGATGGCACCGAGCGATAAGATCTTTGAAACTATTTCAATAGAATCTTTTAAAATAATGGGCAATAAGATACTAAAATCATTAAGAGTAGCGCTACTCAAGCCGGTGACCCAAATAAATAATGAGAAAGAAAAAGAAGCTATACTGTTTACATACCATGACGATCCCATACAAGGAGGACATACAGGCATAACAAAAACCTTGGCCAAGGTCAAAAGATATTATTTCTGGAAAGGTTTAACTCGCGATATAACCAAGTACATACGAAAATGTCCAAAATGCCAAAAAGCGAAAATAACTACGCATACTAAAACTCCATTAACAATAACTGATACACCTGTACATGCTTTTGACAGGGTGATAGTGGATACCGTAGGTCCATTACCAAGATCAGAAAATGGCAACGAATATGCAGTCACTTTAATCTGTGACTTAACAAAATATCTAGTTGCCATCCCAATATCAAATAAAAGCGCAAATACGGTAGCAAAAGCTATCTTTGAAAAATTTATTCTGAAGTACGGTCCAATGAAGACGTTCATCACGGACATGGGTACAGAATATAAAAATTCAATCATTAACGACTTATGTAAATATCTAAAAATAGAAAACATAACGTCAACAGCGCACCACCACCAGACAGTAGGAACAGTAGAAAGAAGTCATAGAACTTTTAATGAGTACATACGTTCATACATATCGGTTGATAAGACTGATTGGGACGTATGGCTCCAATATTTTGTCTTCTGCTTCAACACTACACCATCAATGGCACATAATTATTGTCCATATGAATTGGTATTCGGTAGAACACCAAATATACCAACAAAATTTTATAGTATAGATAATATAGCACCTATATATAACATAGAAGATTACTCTAAAGAGAGTAAATATAGGTTAGAAATAGCTTATAAAAGAGCAAGAACTATGCTCGAGGAGAATAAGAGAAGAAATAAAATTATATATGACTCGAAAATAAAAGATTTAGAAATAGCAGTAGGAGATAAGGTTTTATTGAAAAATGAAACAGGTCATAAGTTAGATTTTAAATATACTGGACCATATAAGGTAGATAGTATAGGAGAAAATGATAATATAACAATTTCAAATATAAAAGACAAAAAACAAAAAGTACATAAGGATAGACTAAAACTTTTTTACTCATAGATAGAATTAGTATGGCCATACATAAGTATATCTATAGGAATATATCAAATCTTTTTAATTTTCTTTACTAAAACACAAAAAAAAAAAAAAATTTTTTTGAACTATGGGATATATATGTATGTATTAGTATTAAATTCATTTAATTAAAAAAAAAAAAAATTTTCTTTTTCTAAATATATTTTTCTAAATAACTATCATATTAAAATTATAAAATAACTTCATAAATATTACGTTATTTTTCAAAAGGAGGGAGATGTAGTATGCATATATATAGCCAATACCCACTGTACCAAGAGTACTTAAAAGGGAACACACTGTAACACTTTGTTGCAGTGTTTATGCAATAAACATTCCCAGGCATATTCAGTGCGACGAAATACGATCACACATATATGCCTGGTACTACATTAGTGCAGCGTCGGCATGTATAGCATAGCCGACGGCACTTGAATATGATCCACACAAGCATGTGGATCTTCCCTCTCGCCCCCCGCTATCAACAGCGCTGGGCATATATAACAAACATATAAATGCGGCCGCTCCGCTGCCGGCGTTGCTGGCGGCGCAGCTACGCTGGCCCTCAGCCAAGTAGAATTTAAGAAAAAAAAAAAAAAAAAAGAAAGTTTTTTAACCACCGGGCTTAGAGAAACGACAAATTCGAATTTGCTCGCTGACAAAAGCTAAATGATATGAAACGAAAAATTATAACTGATCGCTGACAAAAATGTAAAATAAAGGGAAAAATATAAAAACTAGAATGCAAAAGAGCAATTCAAGAGTTTTTTCGCTTCCGTTTTTTTCTTCCGTTATAGAGTAGAGTGGCGGCTGTTGCTGGCACACCGAGAAGTAATATTCCTTAGTCATTTACCAATCCCTCAGCAATTGTCTCTTCCCCGAAAAATATATCTTTGGCTACCCCTAAAAGATACTTTGAATTCTTTTCTTTTACTATCCGGAAAAGATGCTGAACAAATTTGCTGGCAAATTTGTATTATATTGTATAATTTACGCACTGCAAAATAATATTTTGGCTATTGAATTAATATGTGAACAAAATAAATAAAGTGCACTCATTCCTGTGTTTGTTCTCAGCCACGATCGACCTTTATCGACATACACATATTTTAGTTGGGACCATATTTCGATCTACGTGATTCTGCACACGGAAACAAGGATATAAAAATCCCTAATTAAAAAAAGACGTACCACTGGAAAGGGCGCAAAGTGAATAAAAAAAAGCGACCGACCCCAATGGTGTCCTGTCTGCGATGGTCAGATAATGAGTACATACTCGTAAATATCAGGAGACAAAGAATGTGCGAGACTCGTGTCAGTGTTTGTTTTTTTTTTTTTTGTAATTTAATTTAATTTACATTAAAAAATATAATTTGTAAATAATGAAATATAATCCATAATTCATCCATCAAAGTGTTCAGATGTTTTGGCTGTTGTTTGAATCCATTGATCGATCTGAATTATTTGATCTGCTTATGTTTTTTGGCTGTGTAGCAATTAAGTTTGATTTTGATATTTTTTTAATATTGACATTGACAGTTTGACTGTGAGTTTGAGTTGGTTTTAGTTGTTGCTGTTGTGGTTTATTGACTTCATTCTGTTCAAATTCATATGGCACATATATATGGCGAGATATATACATGTATATATGTATATAGAGATATATATTTTTAGATATATATTTAATAGAATTATATAAATTGAATTGCTTCAGAAAATTGTTGTTTAATAATCTCAATTATTGTTTAGGGCGGGAGTCACGGGTCAGTGGACACTAGTGGACGTGTGGACACTTAAGCTTCGGCCTCAACCTCCTCCTTCACCTTGGCATCGCCGGGTTTGCCCTTGGACCAGTCGGGTTTCTTCTGCTCGTCCGGCCATGGATATGGATGATGATTGGATGCATATCGTGGTGAAATAAACGAGAAAATACATTTGAATTAGTAAGAGAATCGCTTGTGGTGAAAGCCAACAGGAAACAGGGTATGCTCGGGGTGTTGGGGGAGAGACCAACAACCAACAATTGTGCCGACACTAAGCTACTTTGTGGTGTACAGTACATTCAAAAAGTGTTGTGTGTGATCGTGTGTGACTAAGCTACTGACTACAGACGGCTACTACAATCGGAGCAATTCACAGATACATAGAAGACAGATACATATATGTATATCGGAGCGGAGATCGGTGTGTGCGACAAAAGATTGAGATTGAGATTGATATAGAGATACAGAGATATAGATAGAGAGATACAATTAAGACAGAGTGGGTGACAGTGCGGTGCACTCAGGTGCTCAAGAAATACGAACAAAATACGAGTACAGACAGGTACAGGGTACAGGTACAGGTACATATGCATGTATGTTGGAGATCGCACACACACAGACACACGCAGAGTTCTTACACTTTTTGGCTTTTGTTAGCACAGCGGCATCTTTTATCTTTTTCTAAACGCAGATGGCAATGTGTGACATTTTTCGTAGTTGTTGGTGATCGTGAAGAGAGATCGTGGCATATAGAAAGATTATAGATATCAGATGCGCCCCATACCCAAAGAGAGATAGAGAGAGAGAGGCTCGATCGGGGCTTTTCCCACACAACTTACCTCCTTCTCTTCCTCCTCCAGTGTGAACTCCTTCTTCTTCACGACCTTAAGTTGGTTGCGGAAGTTGAACTCAGCGGCCTTCTTCTGCAGCTTGGCGAATTTGTTTTCGTATTTGGAGACCTTCTTCAGGGCTGGCTTGACGCTGAAATAATAGAATGATCGATCAGTAATCGCTCGATCTCGAGTTAGTTTATCCGCGGAGAAAATACTTACAACTTGCCGCGAAGATCGTTAACTTGGGCATTGAGATCGTTGATCTGTATTGACGCGATGGAGAGGGGAAGAGAAAAGGCATTCGATTAGTACACGCGATACACACGATAGACACTGCTGTTTATCGGACACATGTAAATGCTACTGCTACGGGCGGGCAACTATCAAAATCAAAATGCTGGAAGAAGTAGACGTAGTGATGTGAGAGAGCAGGCATGCACAGGAAACGGTTGGTTGGTTGGTAACTGGTAGCTGGTAGAACACGGGATGCACACATAGACATAGGATGCGTACATAGATCATAATACTCTACCAAATACTATAACTAATGCTTAGACTAGGGCGTGCTTTTTTTTGGGTGAGTGAGAGAGTGCGAGCAAGCGAGCGAACGAGCGAGCGAGCCAGCGTTTCGAGCCAAGTTCTTTACGTTCTAAGTCGCCTACTACTTTGGGGAAGTTCTTATTGTTTTTTTTAACTATTTATTTTTGGCATGGAAGAGTGGTTATGGTGCTGGTACTAATACTGATACTGGTACTGGTTTGTGGTGGTTTTTTAGGCATTGGCTTTTGGCTTTTGGTGGTGGTGGTGGTGGGTGGACAAACATTTGCTTTTCTTATGATCGAATTTTCGTTTCGTAGATTGAACAGCATAACATCCAAATGTCGATTTCTCTTTGCTTTTTTTTTTAATGCTTTATTTGTAGTTTTATAGAGAGTATTGTTCGTTTATACATAAATATATACACATTTATCGTACCACAATCGGTTAACAGTGATAGACAGAGACAGAGAGAGAGAGAGAGAGAGAGAGAGAGAGAGAGAGTGAGAGTGAGTAAGAGACACAGAGAGAAGCACACAGCACGCACATAGAGAGTGTCTCTGGAGTGAGTCCCGGAGAGACTCTAACTGGGGGCACTGGGCTGAGGTACTGCTAATCGTAAAACTATTTCCTAGGGTCAGGCAGGGCAGCAAATGCATTCCCTTCTTCCTTTTATTGTAAGTACTTTCACTTGTTCACTGATTTTCTGTCGCTTGTTTTGTGTTTGCTTTACTTTGCTTTGTTTTCTCTTTTTCTTTTTTTTTTTTGTTTTTTTTTCTTTCTTTCGATTTGTTTGTTTGTTTCAGCTGCGCACGCAGGTTCTTGCTTGGCTTTCGCTTTGGCTTGTTGGGTTTCGTGTAATCGGTAAACGGTAATCGGTCACATTTAGTGGGCAAAACGGCTAGCATTAAGTGGATCATTTCAAGAAGTAATCGACGCTTGGCTTTTATGCTCTTCAATTTTTGATTTGATTTTCGTTTTTCGTTTTTTTTTATCATTCTTCTTATTTTTCTTAGTTAATTCTTTGCTTACACAGAAAGCGATTGATAGAGACGGAGAGAGAGATAGACACAGAGAGAGAGAGAGAGACAAAGTGTGAGTGGTAATGGGAGTAATTTACACAAAAACACTATTTACAATGAAGTGCGGGGCTGCGGTGGTTGGATGGGTTCGAAAGAGGGTACAGGTCTGGCTGGTATCTGGCTGGACTGGAGTTCTGGGAGGATGTGGGGACTTTGGTATTTGTTTTGTTTTTGTATTCTTGTGTTGCTGCTGCATGCAAAATGTCGCCTACTATGAGTGCACATGCGCGTGCGTACGCGTGCGTATTTCCATTGTATGCGTGCGTTTTACGTGTGCAGAAAAAGAGTGAAAAAGAGTGCTTGCTTGCTTGTGACTGTAACTGTAAACTGTAACTGTAACTGTGACTGTGACTGTGTGTGTGTGGTGTGCGTGGTGTGCTTGGTGTGTGTGTTGTGTGTGTTTTGTTGTGGTTGTGGCCAGCACAACGGACTAAGAGGTGCAAGTAATGACAGTTATAACGAGCGCGTCGACAGCGACACAAACAAATTGTTATTTAAAAAAAAAAAAAAAGAGAAAAAACACACACACACAAAACAAATTTCACAAATTGTGCAACAATTAGTTATTTTGCTGTTGTTTTGTTGTTGTTGTTGTTGTTGTTGTTGTTGTAGTGCAATTTACTAAGGCTACTTTGCTGTTTGATTGATTGATTGACTGATTGATTTTTTGAGGTGCGGTGTGGCTGATGAGCGTACTAGGATTGCCAGAGAGATTGTAAGAGAGAATATATATGCGTGGGTGTGTGTGTGTGTTGTGTGTGCTAGGGATATGGCGGTTGAAACTTAACCTCACTCTATGGTCTGTGGTCAAAGAGGGCCACACTGGACTGCAACTGACACTGGTCACACTGGTCACACTGGTCACACTGATGACACGTACCTTCACGTCATGTAATGTAATTGTAATTCTTTCTGATGGCAATCTCTTCGTTCTCAGCACTCACCTTTCGGCTAATTGTGTGTGTTGCCGAATCGAACAAAGGAAAAATAGTACGAATAGCTAGACACGAAAGCATGCACATATGCGGCTATACATATCTGATACAGATCTGTGTGTCGACATATACTATGCACAATGCACACATAGAGACACAGAGAGACAAATAGAGAGAGAGAGAGAGATAGAGAGTGTGTTTGTGGTACAGTCAAGTATAACAGATACAAACTAAAGAGATATTGATATTGATATTTGATGCGCATTCAAAAAGTAAGAAAGAAACAGCGGAATTGAACTGAACGGAAACGGAAACGAACATGATACTAGATATAACTCAAGATTAGATTAGGTAATTGATATTGATATTGATTTTGATTTTATTGAATATTTTGTTGCATGTTGCATTCTGTCTGGAGTGATTGAATTGTTTTGTTTGTTGGTTGGTTGATTTGGTTGGTTGGTTGGTTCTTTTGTATTCAGAGTTTTTGACATTGATTGATTGAGAATAAATTGAAACTGTAATTGAAATTGAAATTGGTGCAGTACCTCCCAGTCTTTTTTCCTGACTTCGTATTCCAGATCCCATTTCTGGCCTTCACAAATATACATTCGCTCGTAATACTCTTCGCAAATCTCTTGCAATTCGCCTGCAAAAACATTGTATTTTTTCGGAATTGGGTTTTGATTTGATTTGGTTTGGATTTGGTTTTTTTTTTTTTTTTTGTTTGTATTCAAATTGAAATTCAAATTCTTATATTCTTATCGGTTGTCATAACGACGCTTTCAAAGGTCAAAGTTTTGTAGTAAAGTTCTAATTCTAAGTACTAAGTAATGCTAAAAGTAATTATGATTGCATTTATTGTTTATAGAGTTTTATTTTTGTTTATCGCAATTGTTCGTTGCTTATCGATATTTAATCGTTTTGTTGTTTTGCAGCTTCATTAGATGTTATGTGTTCGATGAGTTTTCTTTCTTCGATTGGGCTTGGTTTTGATTGGATTTGGTTTGCTTTGGTTTGGCTTTTCTGATTCTGTTCTGATTCGAAATTGGAGGTTAGAGATTGAGTATGGGAGAGTGTGGCAACTCTGGTGCGCAGTCGCAACGGATCGGATCGGATCGGAACGGAGCGGAAAAGAGCGTTACTTGAGAGGTTTTTACTTGAGATTTGGTTTGATTGGGTTCGCGTATGTTTTTGGTATTTTGTTGTTGGCTTTTCGTTTGGGTTAAGCTCAAAATTAATGACAATTAATGGAAGTTTTTCCTCAGAACTATTTTCCTAATTGGCTTCACTTCGGCGGTGCCGAAGACCTGGCATTTGGTGGGGGGGGTTGGGGCGGTAAGGGGAGACAATTTCCAGAATGCAGGCCGCCCCCCACCCTTCACACTCTGGGCGTATAGGGCATTGGGGGCATTTGATGTACTACCAGTATGTTTACACATTTGTACTTGTGGGCAGGGGCGAGGCGGGTCTGGAAAGTATCTCCCATTCCGAACTGTTTGAAGCACGCGCCGATTCGAGAAGATCTGTCTCTTAAAAGTGGTTCTGTAGTTTAGCGCAGTTAAAACAATATCAAAATTAGGTAAAAGAAGTATCGCAGTAGAAAGAACTAAAAATATGATTAGGAAATATTTAGAAATGAAATCAAGTAATTAAATATCAAGGGCATAATGTAAAGTAAAAAAATTAAGATTAATAATCGATTTATATATAAATCATATCTTATATTTTGGTTTTTGGTTTTTGCTTCATAAGAAAAAGTAAGAAAAAAACATTCGATTTTGGTTTTCTTTTTTTTTGTTTTTGTTTTGTTTTTTCAGTATTCGTTTGGTATAATTTTTTTTTGGTTTTGTTTTTTTTTTATAGTTTGGGTGCATGGCAAAATTTTGTAAATCTTTTGGGGAATTTACCTCTTGGGCCTTGACTTTCTGCACGTGTTCTAAATCAAACTTATCGCCCTCCAATGCGTAAAGGCGTTGCCAATATTGTTTGCATATTGTTTGCAGTTCGGCTGCGGTAAACGGTAACGGTTACGGTAACAGTAGTACGGTAACGGTAGCGGTTACGGGTAAGCGGTAACGTTTGCGGTAAACGATCGAATCGACATTTACGTCAAGCGTAACGCATTGAGAATATTACGTTACGACAAATGTTTGTGTACGTGTGTTTGTGCGTGTGTCGTTGTGGTTGTGGTTGTGGGTGTGGGTGTGTGCGCGTGTGTGTAAGGTATGAATCAAAGAAAGAGAGATAGAGATAGATATAGATATAGAGATAGAGTGACATATTTAAAGAGAGAGAGAGAGAGTGAGAGAGAGAGAGATGGGTAGTGTTTAGGTGTTTTTTTTTTGTCGGAGAAAGAGATTGGAGATTTGGAGCGAGAGAGAGAGAGAGAAGTGGAGTGACGTTGAGATAGAAGTGAAGACAAAGACAGATATAGATAGAGATAAAAGAGAAAGAGATAGAGTTAGATAGATAGCGACAGGGATAGAGAGAGAGAGATAGAGATAGAGACGACGACAACGACGCATTTATTTTGTTTGATTTGGATTGTTCGTTCGTTTGTTTGTTCGTTTGATTGATTGATTGATTGTTTGTTTGATTGGCGCGTTTCGAGAAAAAGAAGGATTAGATTAAGATTTGATTAATATAAAATTAAAGATTGAACTGGATCTTTATCACCTATGTAAATATCTTACTATATGTGAGAAACGATCATATTTTAGGTATTATTTTCTTTTTTTTTTGGGAATTTTTTTCTTTCTTTGCTTTTGGTATTTTGTGCCACATGAAGTGTCTGGTATCTGTATCGGTGTCTGTATGTATATGTATGTATCTGTGTCTGTGTCTGTGCTGTGCTGTTTCTGTGTCATTGTTGGTGCTTGCGAGAGCTGTGGTGCTTGGTGGTGCTTGGTGCGTGACTGTACTCATTGGATGACTGTACTTTGACCCAAAGCCTGTGCTCTGGTCACACTAAAAATTACCCTTTACTTCTTCGTTTTGCTTCGCTTGATTTGGTTTCTCTTTATCCCATTCTTCGTTACATTTGTATGGGTTTCTTTTTTGTGTGTTTGTTTCATTTTAGTTTTAGTTTTAGTAGAAGCTTTTGTACATAAAAAATCACAAAAAATTGCATTAAAAATATCGAATATCGAATGTATTGCTACGATACAAAAGCCAAAAAACTTGTAGCCACAAAAAAAGCTATAGCTATAGGCTAGGCAAAAAAAAGCCGGCAAAAAGCAAATAATTCGAAACAAATACGGTGACATCAAAAATAGGTATCGTCAGCATTTGTTGCACTCGGCATTAATCGAACGGGGGTTGGGTTAGTAACTGTACTCTCGAAAGGCGGTGGCGTTACTTGCGATCCACTTGGGAGTGGATCTGGTAGGCGGGTAGCCTTCTGGTTAGGGGTTAGAGGTTAGCGGTATCGGCTCGGGGCTCTACTTTCTATATACTTTGGTGTTTAGGAGTGTGAGGTATGGATGGGGGGGGGCGCCCACCACCGGAGCGTACACTGGTGGGAGTGCGCAAACATTTCGAATGTGGGGGTCCAGTTTGCACAGCTCTCTCCATTAAAAAAATAAAAGAAAATAGTCACAAAAACAGACGAGTACTTTGGGGTTAACTACGGTTTCTGGCCAACTACTACAATGTGCAATGTGCTGCAGAGTATTTGCTTTCTTTTGTTTTTTTTTAGATTTTTAGATCACACACACACACTTATGGTGGATCAGGCGCCGCCAGGCCTGGGCCATCTGGGCCGCAAATATTTGTATATATCTTTTGGGCTGAAATCGTTTTGCGGTGCGGCTGGTGGCTGGTGGCTGTGGCCAAGAAACTATCAAACAGTAAAGAGTTATCGACAAGTTCTACAAGATATCCGAGAGTGAGAGTGCAGCGCAACACCGCAACACTCGAAGCTTTGTTGGTCGGTTGGATAAGTGATATTGGAAACTGGAACTGCTTGCCTCATAATCCTTTCTGGCTACCTCGTACTCGAGATCGAATTTCTCAGATTCCAATTTCAGTATCTTAGTGTGATAGTCGTGACAGACTTTCTGAATGGTATCTGCGGAACGAAGTTGGGTTATATGTATGTAAATCTTATAGAACGCAGCTGCTACTATATGTGTGTGTGTGTGGCGTGTGTGTACGAGAGTTTGGTGTGGGTGTGTGTTTATGGGAGAGAGTGTATTCGTGTGTAGTTGTGTGTAAGATCTACTCCGTGTGGGAAGAACCTCCTGCTTATGATAGAGGTGCTTTGATGGTGCTCTGGCACCTGGACTCTCTAATCGGAATCAAATAATCGATAGTGGATCGATAGATCGCTTCGACAGGTATGGGAAAAGTGACAGATAGCTTGCCCTAGATCTTCATTAATCGGGGTGAGTAGTAGTGGTATTTCTGTACAGTGTTTAGTGCGTTAGGAAGATAGATCTTGGGGGGCGGTTCACTCTCCGCAAAACATCAAGTGTATAATACAGACTGAGAGTGACAGTGAGAGAGAGAGAGAGTGGATAGAGAGAGAGATAGTGTTTAGATGTAGAGATAGAGAGATAGCTAACAGAAGGTGTTTATTGTTGTTGTTGTTAAAAAGTTAAAAAAGTTTTAGACTTTTGATTTTGATTTGGACGCTTGTTTTTTTGTTTTTTTTTTTTGTTTGTTGCTTCGTGTTGGATAGGATACGATTTTAGTTGCAGTTTGCAGTTTGCATATATAGAGCATATATAGAAGAGATATATAGAATATATGTATATATGTGTATATAGCATATATGGCAGATATATAGCTGGTGGTGGTGTGTGTACCTCAACATCCTTGCGCTTAACAACATACTCAAGATCATATTTCTGGTCCTCCAATTTATTAATCCTGTCATAGTGTTGCTTGATCAGAGTTTTCAGTGTGTCTGTGTCGATCACAGAAGATCACAGAATGGTTGGGAGATTGGTTGATTGGTTGGTTGGTTGGTTGGAGTTGGTGGGTTGGTGTTGGTTTTTGTGGGGTGTATGTGTGTGTATTGGTGTTGGTGTTTGGGTGTGTATGGATACAGATAGATATTTCGGGGGATACGGCAAAAGAGAGATAAAGAGAGACATATTTAAATAGATATTTATAGATAGATTCCAGTCGATTCGTTTTGAATCTTCATTCGAAGATGCTTCTTCCACTGAGACTTGACGTTTGTTTTTTCTTTTTTTTTTTTTTGTATTGTTTTTTGTTTTATTGTTTTTTTTCCTTCAGTGTATGCACAATCGTTGCATGTGTGTGAGTGTGCATGTGTTTATGCAGTGTGTGTTTGTGTCTCTGTATGGCTGTGGGTGTACATGTACATGTGTGGGTGTGGGTGTGGGTGTGGGTGTGGGTGTGCGTACGTGACAGATGACACTTTTTTTGTTCAACTTTCAATTATCGATTTCTGTTTTCTGTTTATGCCTCTGGGCACACAGATTTGCAGTGGTACCGTTACTGTACGCCCCCCGCAGATCTGTGTGGACCCTGGTTATTGTTTGATTCGCTTTATATTCGTCATGTCATTCATTAAATACTTTTAGGGGGAAATTTCTTAAACGGGAGAGCTGCAGGGAAACCCATTGTGATATTTGCTGCACGGTTTCCTTGCACCTCTCCCACGAATTTGAAGGGTGCTTGGGGAACGCGCTCTACGGCTGGACCACTGCTGTGGACCGGAAAACTCACCTTCACTGGCATCACTGAGATTCCTGGGACTGCCGCAACGTTCTTCAATGATGCGTCTACGTTCAGCCGCTTTGCGTTCCTGTTCTTTCTTCAACTCCTCAGCGGCTTTCTTACGCAGCAGCAACTGTGGGATGAAATATCGTATATGGATTAGGAATATCATCGCATTGGATTGTGTGGAGAGTGGCGTGGTGTCGAGCACTTACCCTGAGTTTCTTCTTCCTTTCTGGGGTCATGAAACCCTTCTTGGCCTTCTTGGCCTTGGAGGCTTCCTCCATGCGCTTGCGCACCTCAGCACGCTTGCGCTCGATCTCAGCCTGTTTAGCCTTCTTAGCCTGCAATCAAACACCAGAAAAACAAGTCGACAAATCGTCAGTAAGCCTGCCAAACACACACAGGGGACAACGGGCTCAGCTACAGTAGCTACAGTGGCCGAGCCCCGCATCCGGATCAAACACTACACAACACGGCACACGGCACTCAGCATGGAGGGGACTCATCATGGGACGTGGACATGGACATGGACGCGGGACGCGGGACGTTGAGGTAACGTGGACACACGTACACAAGTGTACCTCCTCGGCCTTCACTTTCGGATCGTTGGGATCCTTGGGCGGGCCGGCTGGCGCGGCCGCAGCTGCCGGCGCCTTTCCATTGGCCGCCGGCGCCTTTCCATTGGCGGCTGGCGCTGCCGGTTTGGCAGCAGCCGCTGCCGCTGCCGGTTTGGCCGGAGCCGCAGCCGCAGCCGCTGCCGGTTTGGCCGCAGCCGCAGCTGGTGCAGCGGCGGGAGCAGCTGCCTTTTTCTGCAAAAAAAAAGCAAAGAACAGAATTGTTAGTTTCGAATTGTCTGGAATGAAAGTTTACGGTTTGAGCGTGCGAAGATTGCAACATACAGAGCGAGAAAGAGCGAAGGTGCATAAGGTTCAAATCAACCAAACACTCGTATGATGGGAACACACTTTGCTGATTATATTTCCCTTTGTTATTAATACGTGGGGGTTATCAGTACCAGCTCACTGTATTCACAGTCTCTCTCGCACATATTGCAATTATTTCTCACGCATAAACGAAAGTTTTTTGCACAGCTACAAGCAGGGACATGGACAGAGACAAAGACAAAGACAGAGACAGCGACAGAGACTGGCACAGAGACACACACTAACGATAACATAACATTGTTTCGATCGATCTTGATTCGATAGTTATCAGTTGTCAGTGCTGACTGCTGCTGCTCCTCGATCAGAGGGTTGCTTGACGTGCGGGGCGGGGCGGGGCGGAGCTTAAGGCAGGAGAAAGCTCATCGATCCTGTGGGTAGGCCAAGAGAAAGCATTTTGTGGTCTGTGGTTAGGGCGAGGCGCTTGGCTAATTAGATTAGATAGCGGCAATAGCGGGGGGCTGGGGTGCCAAGGCTATGCTTACCACAGTCATCCTCCGGTCCCGGCGGGTTCAGTCCCGTCCAATCCGCAGTCCGAGTCCCCAGTCAAGGGGCAACGCTTTAGCAGCGCCCATTGTGTTTGTTCACATGAAAAGTTTACTGCAGAAGAAGGCCAATGATTAGTCACGGGTCACTGGGTCACTGGACAGCCCCCACGATACTCACCTCACCTCATCATCAGCCATTTTGATTTGTGTTTTAAGTTACTGCAAAATACAGAAAGAGAACAGAACGAGACGTGAGCTCAAGGAACTGGAACTGGAAGTGCGAATGGAAATTGAAATCGAAATGGTCTCTGACATCATTTCGATTGTCCTATATATACACCGTTATAGATATAAACAGAGATAGATATAGATATATATTCGTATATTCGTATTCGTATATGTATATGTATATGCATGTCTGGCATCTGTTCCATAAATTCGTTCGTTCGCTCGTTCGTTCGTTCGCCCACACAAACGCACACCCTCGCACGATCCTATCGGGGCCGGCCACAGTGCGTATGCGCAATTCACATATACAGCTGCGCGGCGTATTACGTATACGCAGCATTGGCCCATGCCGTATATGGGGGGGCCACTACACTCGCGCGCTCTCTCTCTCTCTCCCCCTGTCTGTGGTATTTACTTTGGCGTGGGCGCCTGCCAGAAAGAGATGAACATTCCTGCCTCTCTCCGATATCCGATTTCACTCGAGAAGCGGTGCAGAGGCACTTCGCAGAAGAGCGAACCAGCCAAAAGTCCCCCAAGGTTCACCCACTGACGGTATGCTTTATGTAGTCAGCCCACTCAGCTGATCTTGTTATGTGAGCATATTAATCCATTTATGTGTACAAATTGGTACGAAAGAATTATTGGGACAACTCTTGGGAAGCTCTTGTGAGATGAATCGGTGGGAAAATCACAAAGTTAAAGCTGAAAATCATGAATGATGCGTAGATATCCACTTTTGAACTGCATATTAACCAGTTCTCGCATGATCACTTCGATCTGAAGACAAGCTATGAAACAGTTTACTTTGAGGAAGCTTTCTAAGTAAATCCTATGAAAGATCTCTTCGCAGGGGGCTGTTTGTTTGGAAGATCGCCTTGTACAGCTGTTTGAAAATTACTTGAACGATAATTACTGTAGAAATATCAATGTGAAAACATCCACAGAGGAATGCAAATACATTCCTCTGAAGATCACAAAACAGACAAGTTTGCAATCAAAAAGATCCCCGAAATACTACAAGAATTTCAAACTTGAAAAAGTTCATTAGACGGCACATTTGGGGTAATTATGAAACGCCACAAATGGCGAGGGGAGAAGTCAATATTTGTCTTGTGTATATTGTAGAATTTTCCCATTATTGTGGCCAGAAGTATTACCAAACCATATGGCCATATAGCCATATAGCGCAGGGGGCAAAAGCCAAGAGCTGGGCATAAATTTAGACCGAAAAACATTTCGATTTGTGCTTGTTGCAAAGACACCTTTTCGGCGATGGTAAGACGCGAACAAATCTCTGACAATGTCGACCTTCGGGCACTCACACACACACACATACACACAGCCAGACCCTGAAGGGGTCAGAGAGGGAGGTGTGGGGTGTGGCGCAAAGAATAGGCAAAATCTAAGCAGAGTTGTGATCTCCATTTGGCACAGAGAGGAATGGATGGATGGAGGGATTTTCTATTGTGTGCTGTATCTCTGGTGATCTAAAAATAAACCTGTTGATAGACACACGAATGGGGGAACCGAGAAATATGGCAGCTATTTATGATCGCAATGCTATTTTGTTTAGGTGTTTAGGAAAATTTCCGGGGGAAATCGTTCACTCATTGGGCGACGGGGAAAGGGGGGGAAAATGGAACTACAAAAAAAAAAAATAAAAATCAAAAGTCCAATTTAATATCCAATAATCGTGCGGAGATTGTACGTATTTATCCAGAGCTTTTTATGGCTATACCTATACAGATATACAGATATATATATATATTTGGGTGATCTGTGCATTTGTTGATATGTATGCGTATCTGAGTGTATGTGTGTGTGTGTGTTTGTGTGTGTCTCGCTTTCTCCCTCTGGCATTTAGCTGCGCTCTCGGTTGGTTCTATTCTATTTTGAGGCACTTTTGAGGCAGCATTTGGCTCTTTCGAAACGAAATGTATCTTGTATCAGTGGGATACATTTTTAGCACACACACACACACACACACACACACTCACGCACAACTACGCATGCACATTTCACCCTCTTACATAATAAGAGAGCGAGAAAAATACAAAAAAAAAAAATATGTTAAAAAAAAAACAATGAAAAAAAAAGTGCATAAATGTCATAAATGGAATGTTAACTTTGTTTCAATCGGTTCAATCCATATAACCGGTAGATGGTAGCACACTTTCGAAACGACACTTGAAAATAATATCAAAAAAATAGTATGTCCGCCAGGAAGTGGTGGATGGAGGGGTGGGAGATTGGGGATTGTGGAGGGTGGGGGATTATAGTCACACGCACGAATTGACTATTGGATCGAATCGATGCTCGATAGAGGTTCGGTTCGATTCGGTTCGATTCGATTCCTTTTTGGCGCAGGAGTCGCACACAATTCATTCGGTTCTTTCGGTTCTTTCGGTTCATTGTTTTCTTTTCTTTTGCTCTTTTGCTCTTTTATGAAGATTTATGTTTGGTTCTTGGATTGTAGCTCGGTTGATATTATTGTTGGTTTATATTGTTTGCATGTTGCATGTTGCTGCTGCTGCTGCTGCGGCTGCTGTTTTTTTTTTTGTACTTTTTTTGCTGCTGCTGCTGCGGCACTCACCTTCAAGGAATTAGAAAAAAAAGAAAAAAAATTTGAGCTGTGCTGTCGATCACACGAATCGGTTGATACTGAACGACACAAAAGACTGAACGGTCCGACGATCCACGGCAGACTATATTCTAGCGGCCAGCCGTTCAACGGATACAGATATTTTTCGGACCCGTTCCGAAAGTTTACTTTTGCACTCGCACTCGCATCGGGAGAGAGAGAGAGAGAGGGAAAGAGCGAGAGCGATGTGTGCCGCCCACCTGCCCGTCCTTCGCACACACACACACACACACACACACACACACACACCAAAATGGCAGGGAGGGGTGTGCTGTGAATGGCGTTGGACGAGGCAATGTGGCCATGTATCTGGGCATGAGGCCTAAAAATAGATGCCTCTGGCAGCCCAAAAATCGAAATGGATACCGAAAACTGTTCACTGCTCATTCGGCTCTGCACCGATCTGTTCCGATCCATTCCGAACCGAACCGAGCCCGCACCTTCAGCCCCCCGACTGCAACCCCCCCACACACTCTTGGAGAACATCTGTATCTGTGTGTGATGCTGCTGCTTCTGGTGTAAACGGAGCCGCTTGGAATTCAATGCAATGGATAAAAATAAGTTGTGCTCCAGTTGAGAGCAACAGCAGCACCCGAGAGTGGGCCATGCCATCCCATGGTAGTGCAGTCAGACCAGACTCGGATCCTAAAGCTGGTATATACATACACATGTACATACGCAGATGCCATGCCAGCCAGGTAGACTGAGATCTTTACCAATAACTTGAAGCCAGGGGGACACGATGGGTTGGAGCTTACTTCTAGCTCCAAAGCTCCAAACTAAGCTCTGGGGAAACAATCCAAAGTTCTTCTGAGAGATCAGCCAGAGCAGGGATTAATTGAGAGGATTCATTGAAGATGTGCCAGTACTCAAGTGCTGATTGGCATGAACCCAAAGACTTGCTTCTGGGAGAGTGCAGACTGAAACACCAGAAGAGTCAAGATGGCATATAAATCAATAGAAAGTAAAACTATGCAGGAAATACATGCGAACAAGGGGATTCAACGGGCAGTTCCTTAAACTAATTTATGAATTCTCCAGCCTAGCTCCGGGAATCTTCAAGTAAAAAAACATCAATGAAAGAGAACTTCCTGGTATTTAGCTCTAAAGAATTAACTGAGTCTTCTGCTTCTGGAAGCTGTAACTTCCGAGCTCTGGGTAGGAATTCCACCCTCCTAATGCCTTCAGTCCCTGCTCTAGGGAAGCCGTCTTAAAATGTTTGCTTCAAATGAATGCCTGCAGCTGTGAAAAGTATATTAATAAGAGACCTTTGGCATTTCCAGCAGCTTTTATTTTAAGCCCACTCTCAGTTTGATTTCTCACTGCAAATACCAATGCCACTGCCACTGCCAATGCCGCAGGAGATTCCCTTCCCCCCACTTCAGTGGGAATCCATGTACGCCTGATTAATTGGAATGGCCTTGATTGATACATTTTGTGGCTAAACTTGGTTCAAGGGCAAGTGGCACGAGTTGCAATGCGTTGCACTGATTCTTGAGTGGCAGAATCGACCAGCCAGCAGACTTCAGTATGTGGCCACTGCAGCCAGCCCTCTCTCTCTCGTGCAGGCTCACAGACAGGCTCTCCAAAAGTTTTAGCACACATTTAATGGAATTTCATTTAGCTGCCAACTGTCAAGTGCTGGTCGGTTTTAAATCGCGGCTTACCTTGATTAAAACGGACACAGTCCCTACGGAGCCGGAGCCCGAGTCGGAGCCGGAGCCGGAGCATTAGCTAATGGGAAAAGGATGCTGGAATGTTTCTTTTGACGCACGTCAAAGGAAACCAAAATCAACAAAAAGTTGCATTCAATTTGGTTCGCTTTCGCTTAACCTTGATCAAGGCAGTGCAATGTCAGTATTTTTGGGCACATCCCTTCCGCCTGTCTGTGGGCGGAAAACTTGATCTTTGCAAATTAAAGTCAATAACCATTAAGGGTAGCTCAGTCATTGGGATGCCTGTGGGCTTTAAAATTAATTACTCACACCAAATAGAGCCAAGGAGCATATTTGACAATGGAAGAATCCCCCACCCATGCCAAAAGTGGCAAAGCCAAGGCCCAAAACAGGCAAAGGAACAGCAGCAAAGGTATAAATATATTTTTGGATTAATGGGTTCCCTTTCGATAGACCCTTTGGCACTTTTACTTTAATAAAGGTTACTCTCAGCTACGAGCACATTTAATGCCAGAAATTAATCTGTCCAATTGCATTATTTGTGTCCATCTGTTCGTGTTCGTTGATGCATTGCATTGCATTGGCTTTGCATTGTCTTCTAGCTCAGCGGATTACACGATTAATTCTCTTTAATTTGCGTTCATTATTCAGTAATAATGGAACGAACATACGAGTATGTACAAGCCCAGAAGCTGTGTGACTTTTGACATTTTAAATCAAATGCAGCAGCAGCAAATGTGTGGGCAGTACATAAATACCCTTAACGAATATATTCCCAATTAATTAAACATTCTTCACTTTCGATTTAATAAATAATTTCTCGGCATCAGCCGAATCGGAATACTATAGCCTATAACCACCACGAGTATCGTACAACTGCCGACTTAAATCTGCATAGATTTGGGGCTTGAAACCAAATTCATTTAATTAAATAAAGTTTTAAGTTTTAATATTCCACGCGGACAGCAAGCGTATTTGGATTTCGATATAGTTATATTTGTTGTACCAGCTAAAAAGAATGTCATGTCAAATAATGTGTCAATCCTAATTATGAATGAAAAAAATTTGTGATTTTATTTGTCAGATATTTTTTGCCGTTTGTTCGATGATGCATTATTTGCCTCCATACAAATTAACTCGAATAGGTAATGGAATTTTTCTACACGAGCACCTAATAATCGAATGCGCCCACACGGGCAGACTTTTGAACATTTGCAAATAATTGAAGCGGAAAAAGGCGGAAAATGCAGATAAGTGCAGCAGCTTATTGGGAGGGAAACAATGCAATGTTTGCAATGGTTCAAGGTTCCGCTTTGCCAACAGCAATGCCCATGCCCCGTGACATATTCCCAGCAGATTTAATTCCATAAAATTCCACCCGTTAAACTATTTACACGCATGTACATATGTATGTACCTGCACACGAGTATGTATGTATGTATGTATGTGTGTGCGCTCTTCTTGTTAATATCAATGTTTGGACAAAATTACTATTTGATCTACTGGCACAATCTAAATATATATGGCGTATATATGTATGGAATATGGACACATGCCCATACATACGAGTATGTACGATCGCGTGCATATATTATTCTATATATACAATATTAATGGCAAACTATATGTGTACACATTTTTGGATGACGCTGCAGCATGCCTACTTGCAACGTTTGTTGAAAGTAAATTTTTAAATTGTTCAACGAAGGAAAATCTCTGCTCGAGCAGAGGAACGAAAAGAAAATGTTCCGATCACGAAGCTTTTTTTCTACACATACGTACATATATACAGCCATAGCTATATATATTTTTGTGTGTATTTAATTTGTGTGGGTGTTCATAGAACATACAAAACATATGTCGAGACATTCTCGTACATAGAAAATACATAGAAATGTACATAAATACGTACATACGTACATACATTTGTGTATATATAATTATATTCTGTTTCTACATATAATCTTTCTATGTCGAAAGCAGCCAAACAATCCATTGGTGAGGAAAGTGTATTGTGCAGAGTTTTTATGTTGTGTTGAGATTGTTGGTGTAGTTTCCATTGCTATTCGAAGCTATTGCTATTCTTGGTGTAACTACAATTGGTAAAGCAATTCTCGGCATTGTTGTTGAAGTTTTTGCCACTGTTGCTGTTGTTGTTGTTGAACCAGCTTGTAGTTTCTTTGCAGGGTTCGTTGGTGTAATTGTATTTCGTGCAACTTCTATGTGGAATTTTGTTGGTGAGTTTGTTATTGGTGTAATTGCTGTTGACGCTATTGTTGGTTTAGTGTTAATTGGTGTAGTTTTTATTGTATTAAATTTCGATGTTTTAGCTTTAATGTGTAAGGTTTTGTTTTAGAGTTTATTGTTGGATTTATCGTTGGTGTACTTTTTGTTGGTGTACTTTTTGTTGGTGTACTTTTTGTTGGTGTACTTTTTGTTGGTTTTCCTTCTGTTGCTGCTGCTGCTGCTGCTGCTCTTGCAGTTATTGCTATACGTTTTCCTTTTGCTTTTGTATTTTTCATTTTTCTGTTGTTGTACTCTAGACATGAATTTCGAAATGTTTTCACGATGATTTCTCTTTGGCTTGATTCTGTTTTTCTTCATTTAAATATAGACAATGCCTTGCCACGGCTGTCGAGGGGGCGACAGGGTGCCCGGTGGCAGCCATGGGTAGAGACGGATGGACGGGGCATGGGGTGTGGGGTGTGGGGGGCCCCGAACAAATGCGAGAAGGAAATGCTTTTGTTTTGTAGGGAACTTGATCAGTTCGTCTATGTCTGGATGAAATCTATTTTAGCATTTATTCTCGTTCGAAAGCATTTAAAACAGTTTTGCAGTTCCACCCCTCGCACACCACACACAACCAGCACCCAGCACCAACCACTGCCACCTCTCACGCCCACGCCCCCACCCCCACCCTGTCTCCCCTAATCTTCATCCAATTTTGTTGAAATTTATGAATTTAGAAAATGTTTTTCTCTAAAACGAACGATTTTGTGTGTGTTTAAAAACATCATTTACTTTATTTTTGGCCTTTGCCACAAACAGGAAACATTATCAGGGAAGGTGGGAGAGGGCTTTCATATGAGGACTGAACTAACGCGGGCGGGGCAGGGGCAGGGGCACCTTTGAGCCATTTAAGGTTGAGGCTTAAAGGCCTCAACCATCGATGGATGGATGTGGATGGTCAGACACACACACAGACACGATTTGAGTGCGTCAAAGCCAAACAAACGTCATAAGCTCCCGGACAACGCCCGCAATCGCCACACCCCCGCCCCATTTGGCCCCTACCCTCCAGACACTTCCAGTTTCATCCTCCCTCCGTCCCCCCCTCCGTTTCCATCTCTTCCTCCACCACGCTTTGGCGCTGCTTTTGGCCTTGTAATACTCGCATCT